GCAGGTGTGTGGGGAGCACTGTGGATGATAGCACAGAGATAAGTGCCTGAGTCTGTGGTCTGGGAGGAGGAAATGTACAAAGAGCTGCGAAGCTCCATAGTGACTGTCGTGGATGTCAGTCTTCCACTCTGCTTTGTTCCAGAAGGATTGGAAAGCAGGCTGATGAGGCGTCCCCCAGGACTTTGGTAAAACCACTGCAACTGGGTTGCTGTGGAGGAAAAGTTGCACTGCAGTGTTGCATTCTCTCCTTCCTGCAGAGCCAAGGTCGCAGGTCTCTGCTCCACTTGTTGCCCTTTCACCCCTGATTGGAAACAGAGACACAGATGGCCATCATTGCAGTGTCCCCTGAGGCCTGAATGCACCCCATGTCCTCTGAGAAGGTGGGAGCTCTGTAGGACTCCTGAGCTACTTTCCCCACCCTACCATGTGCAATATCCCCTCAGGTGCCCTGAATGTGGGCAGCCAGACTCACAGCAAACCTGGGTGCACAGAAGCCCCAGCAGAGAACACAGCAGCCTCTTCATGGTGCTGGTGGGGCTGCTGGAGACAGAAGCAAGCAACCAATCCCTGGGCTGTGGGGGCTGTTGAAGTGTCTGTCCTCCTGCAGTCAGCTCCACCCAGAACCCTGCCAGGCCAGACCCTGCTGAGTTCTCTCCCAGTTTTGAGAGTCTGAAGCTCCTCCCACACCAGACCTGCATGAGAGTCTGTGTGGAGCACAGTTGGGGGGAGATGGACATTTTGAAATGGCTCTGAGAGTATGAGCACTGTGAATGATCTTTGAGGAAATTTGTCTCAACTGCAAAACAAGGATACTTTACACAAATCTTTAACAGAGTTTACAAAGGAATAAGTCATTGGATCCAACCTATATGAAATGGAGAGCATTTTAATGGAGAACATTAAAAAGAGGAACACCCAAAATTTTGGCCTGGAAACTGATGTGTGTTCTGAAAGAATCTTTGTGACCTATGAATTAAATAAAGTGAGGTGTATTCCAATCATACAAAGTAAAATGCATCTAAACGTTTTTAATGAATCCCAATCTTGGAATAGATGAATTGTGTGTTGTGCCAAACACATCTAAAAATATCTCTTACAGTCTAAGCGACTGAAACTTTTGCAGAACCTTGCACAAGAGTTATTAACATACCTTATGGTTCCTTAAGACTTAAGGCTGTTATTCTAGAGTGTACTCAGCCTGTTTATTTAACCTGCCTTTAAGAGAACAATGTAACAACCAACATTACTTGCCTTGGATTCCACTGTAATAAGATTTTTCAACCTAAGTTAATGCATAGCTCTGGTGTTAATTATGGATACTTCCATGCTTGCAACATAGAGTAATGCATGTGTATGTATGTTATAAAAATAAATGCCAGAAACAACAAGCATAGGTTGAAATCAATCTTATGAAATAATAGATGCCATATATGTTAAAGGCAACATACAGATATTATTTAGTAATGTCTGTTTGCTTGTGATCTGGGCCATTTGGTGTAGGTTGGAATCAATGACTTATCCCTTTGTAAAACTCTGTTAAAGATTTGTGTAAAGTGTTCTTCATTCCTTCTCCATATGATGCTTTTTGAGCTGTTCAATAAATAAAGAACAAAACTCCTTTGTTGGAGACATACCTACATAGACACAAACCCAGGAACAAGCAAGGCAAGAAAGCATTTAGGGATAAACAAGTAGAGACTCATACAACAGATAGATACATGCATTATGGAATGATGGAAGTCACAGGGAGGGAGAAGGAGGGAATTCAAATCCAGGTCTGGTCTTAAATTACACCATGGGGGTGCTTTTTAAATGTTTTTTTCTTAAGGCAGCATTGAAACATTTTGGGTAATTGGAGGCTATTTTATTAAAGTGTTCAAACAGATGCAATGTTTATATGAAATGACATTTAACCTTTGCTATAATTTGAGTGTCAATTTGTCAA